TCACATGTTAGCAAGTTAAGGCTGAGCACCAGAGACCAGCGAGATTACTCCAACCTTTGGAGGTAGCTGAGTGGAAGTGAGAGCATATCACGACGAATTTTGTGACTCACTTGCCACGGACATCGCGGGGACATGATACAGTGTAGGTGATAGTGGACCGACTTACCAAGTCGGCACATTTTTTGGCTGTGCAAATGACCTTCACACTAGAGGAATTCTGCAAGTTATACAGACAGGAGATTGTCCGGTTGCATGGGGCGCCCGTGTCCATAGTATCGGATCGGGATCCCAGGTTCACGACTCATTTTTGGGAGAGTTTTCAGCGAGCTATGGGGACATAGTTGATGATGAGCACTATTTTTCATCCTCAGACAAACGGTCAGTCTGAGAGGACTATTTAGACGTTAGAGGACATGCTACAGGCATATGTCCTAGATCTCAAGGGTAGCTGGGAAGATCACTTACCCTTAGTGGAGTTCGCCTACAACAATAGTTACCAGACGAGTATACAGATGGCACCCTATGAGGTATTTTATGGGAGGTCTTGTCGTTCTCTGGTCTGTTGGACGGAGGTGGGAGAGAGACCCTCTACGGATCCGAATTTGATTAGAGGCACCTCAAAGAAGGTGGATTTGATACGGAAGCGTCTTCTTACAGCTCAGAGCCGGTAGAAGAGATATGCCGACAAATGGCGACGACCTCTAGAGTTTGAGGTGGGAGATCATGTCTTCTTGAAGGTGATGCCTAAAAGAGGAATGATCAAGTTTGGTAAGCGGGAAAAGTTGTTGCCGAGGTACTTGAGAGGGTTGATGCAGTTGTTTACCGGTTGGCGTTACCGCCAAATCTATCGGGTGTTCACGCGGTGCTTCATGTCTCTATATTCTGGAAGTATACTCCAGATCCGACACATGTAGTAGATTGGGGTGAGATGATTGTTAATGCGGATGGAACCTTCGAGGAGGGACCGGTGCGTATCATGGATAGCCAGGAGGAAGTTTTACGAAGTAAGACCATGAGGCTAGTGAAGGTGTTGTGGCAGTACCGAGACATGGAGGAAGTGACATGGGAGCGTGAAGACACTATACGTACCAACTATCTATCTGGTTCGAGGATGGAGGTACAAGTTTTATGATTTTATGTATAAAGTCATTGTGTCATATGCATGTAGTTAAGTGTATATGTGTGTGTGTGAATTTCGAGGATGAAATTCTTGTACGGGGGAAAGAATGTAAAATCCGGTAAATTTAAACTTTTGTAAATAAGGGCAAAATAATAATTTTGCCGCTATAGTACAGCTTGAAAACCTGAATTTTTCTAAATCTCGGATGACAAAACGAACCTAACCGTTAGATTCGTCTCGCAAAATCTAGTTACCACTTTGCATTTCACCGAATTCTGAGATAGTCAAATTTTTTGCGTTTTACGTGGCAGTCGAGTCTCGGGTAAACCAAAAATGGGATTTCTAATGAAATTTCAAAATTTAAAAAATAATTAAAGGTAAATTAAAATAAAATTAATTTGAACTTGAATCGAGATAAAATTTAATCATTTTGGGATTAAAACAGACCCGGAAACAAAAAGGGTCGTGTAACACATTGTGGGCTAAGTATTCTAAAACTATAAATAGGGAAAATCTGACTTTTTGGCCCATTTTTTATCAGTCAGTTAGCCGATAGAGAAGAGAGAGAAAAGAGAATTTCTTCATCTTCTCTCTACGATCTACGACTCCACGAGCTTCGGATCCACTCGGGTCAAGAGAAAAAGTCGGTCTCCTCGCCAAGGGCTACGCGACCACACCAAAAACGACGGGTTTCACCAAAGGTTGAAAAATGAGATTTTGAAAAAGTGAGGATTCAAGATTATTTTGGGTTCTAGGAGCTTCCCAACGTCATTTTTACGCTTCAAGAGGTAGGGGTTCTCCTACTTTAGTTTATTTTCCACTTATAGTGTTATATAAAATGTGTGAGTTAAAGGGAATATGTATTTCGCTCATTTATGCATATGACATGGGTGAAATGGGTATGAAAAAGGAGTATGTAAATGGGTTGGAATAGATTTTCTTAGCTTGAAATTGTGATGTGGAAATTACTTGGTTGATAATTCCATGGGAAAGGTGATTATATGAGCATGCTATATGTGTTATATTATACTTTGTGAATGACGTGAAAATCCTTGTGTGATAACATGAATTGTTGCCTTGAAGGTGTTTGCCAAAATGCCTATGTGTGGATTAAGCTGTCATGACGTGATGATGTATAACATGCTTAGTAAATGTGTTGGAAAGAAATGTTAATATGTGCTCATTGATATATTGACATTGTAATGATTCATGAGATTTATATGCGTATGGTATGAATTGCCATGNTATGTGTGGATTAAGTTGTCATGACATGATGATGTATAACATGCTTAGTAAATGTGTTGGAAAGAAATGTTAATATGTGCTCATTGATATATTGACATTGTAATGATTCATGAGATTTATATACGTATGGTATGAATTGCCATGGGATATGTGGATTTATGGTTAACTTGCTCATTTGGCATCCATTGCATCTTGGGCATATTATAACATCGCATTCATGGGCTTAGGCATGAGTGTGGATATGTGTGATGCATAGTTTAATCAAACACCACATATGGTGGTTGATGGTGGGCTCGGGGGAGTGGAATTGAAGGTTCTACTAAGTCGCACGGTTGCATGCATGAAAAATTGGGTCGGGATAGTAAGAAGGGCTAGACTATCTGTNGGAGTGGAATTGAAGGTTCTACTAAGTCGCACGGTTGCATGCATGAAAAATTGGGTTGGGATAGTAAGAAGGGCTAGACTATCTGTTGGGTGAGAGGCCCGGTGATTGGATACGCACTCCGTTGGCATAAGAGCCCAAGAAGTGTGTCAGTGTACCCGGAATCATTGGTGAAAGTCTACAAATTCCGTGTCGGTTGGGTACCGTTGGTGTAAGTCCATAAATATCCACCCCATATAAAGACTCGGAGGTTTTAAATAGCCATTTAGAGGATAATATAAATGACGGGAGCTAGAATGGTTTAGTTTTATATGCATTAACATTTGCATGTGTTGAGGAGAAGGGAAAAGGCTCGGGGTTAAAATGCGGGAGTGAATCTCATTTCATTCATGGCATGGCATGGTAAGTTCCACGGTGAATTCCAACATGGATTACATAATTCTTGCATTGGAATGGATTTTGGTAGTGTTTTGTTGCATAACACATTGCATATGCACTTAGGTGGGGAGTAGTCCTTATAGGAAATTTTCTAATAGGCATTGGCTCATCCTATATGGGAACACATTTTAGGTGCAGGGTTCGTACCGGTGGAGGACTCACATTCGGGGCCTCAAAGATAAAGAAAAGCCGGATTGTGACTTTTGGAAACAAGTTTTTGTAAAAACTTTTGTTTAAAACCCATTGGGCATGTAAATGTATGGAATGGGTTGTATTAGACATTATATATATTAGATTATATGTGAAAAACATGATTTAGTATGTTTTGGATGAAAAATGTAGGTTTTGGAATGGGTTAAAATTGACAACAAGTGAATTGGACAAAATTGGACAAAGTGTACCGGTACACAGTACCGGTACAATCTGCCCAGAAGGAAAAGCGTACCGGTACTGCGTACCCGTACTGTCTGTCCAGAAGGCAAACCGTACTGGTACATAGTACCAGNTTGGAATGGGTTAAAATTGACAACAAGTGAATTGGACAAAATTGGACAAAGTGTACTGGTACACAGTACCGGTACAATCTGCCCAGAAGGAAAAGCGTACTGGTACTGCGTACCCGTACTGTCTGTCCAGAAGGCAAACTGTACTGGTACATAGTACCGGTACTGTCTTCTAAAATCTGAAAATTTTAAATTATTTTGCCTAACTTTTTGAACTTTGTTTTCTTTAGTTCCAATAATATAAATGGACATTAAATGAGGTATATTGAGGCTTATTGGACCTCCATTGAATTAAATGATTAAAGGAACACGAATTATACATNTGAGGTATATTGAGGCTTATTGGACCTCCGTTGAATTAAATGATTAAAGGAACACGAATTATACGTGTAAGCTATGATCCCGGTTACAGGGATGTGATAGACGTGATGTCGAGCCATGTAACATTCACGGGTATTTTTGCAGGTTGACGGATGGTCAACGGGACCCCCGATTTTAGGGGCATCACAAATCAAATACCTCTTGATGTCCTCCACCACTTGTTTTCAGCATCGTATCTGAAGTTCTAGTATGAGAATTAGTGTGGCTCTAGCCTGCATAGGAAAAAGATTGAAAACTATCCAATGCAAAAACATACACAATGATTTTTTTTTCCAACTCGATGAAACTTTGTCTAATTTTGCCTTTTAAGGCATTTAGGATTATCAAATTATCTTGAAATGATTGAATATTGGGATGTGTGAAGTGGCTTAAGTCATTGATGCACTAGTTTTGCCTTCTCTGATGAGCATTTTGCATTTAACTTATTCTTTTTTCATAGAACTTCTTGTTATCGGAAAGTGTCAAAGATGGGACAGAGGAGCATGAAGAAGAAGGGGTAGGGGAAAAACTGAAGGAAGAGTATGAGAAAGAAAGAACAGAGGAAACACTGAAGAACACTGCACAAAGGAACATAATCATAGCCAGAAAGGGAAAAAACTATAGATTAATCTCCTACCTCTTTCGGTTCACGTTTCATTTAATTTTGAGATTTTGCCACAACTTTTAAGTTATTTCTATTTGCTTACCTAGATGGAATGGAATCATATGATGGAATGGCTAAAAGGAAAATCATTAACTAGCTTCTTAAGATCACATAGAGAAAAGAAAAAAGAGGAAATTCAATTCCAAACAGCCAAGTTACACGTTGCCCTTTCTCTCACCCGACTTGCTTCAACAATTGCTGGCTTTTCTACCAATGTAAGCGTAGATATCCAAGACGCTAATCACTTTGATTATGAGAGACTTTTACTATTGCTTTGTTTGTGCTTCAATGGGTTTCTTCTTCTGTTTTTTTTTTGTCATTTTAATGATGTTCAGAGTGATAAGCTGAAATTATTTTCAGAAACTAAAATGTTTTTATATTCAAAATGATAAACTGAAATGTTCTAAGTCTACCATGTTTTTATGTTTTTTTCAGAAACAGAATGATAATGCTTATGTTGCAATTTGAATTTTTCTGCTATTTCTTGTACAGTGATTATGTTCAGAAGTTGAAAGTTAATGGCTTTCTGTTTTAATGTTTGTTTTTTTCTATGTTTATGTTTAGACACTCAAAAGTGTCTTTTTGTTTTAGGGAATATGGCTTCAGTGGTTGCTAGTAGTGGGTCCTCAGCTTCCTATGAAGACGACACAAGGAAACCTCTTTGGAGGTATGTTTCAAGATCTGAAACGCTACGTGATGGAGGAGGAAATAATTTGTGGCAATGCAATTTTTGCAATCAAACAAGGAAAAACCCATTCACTGAATCAAAGAGAGTTTTATTGGGAATAAAACAAGGAAAAGCTCATACACTGAACCAAAGGTAGCCAATGAGAAATTGGGAATAAATCAAAGCTCATGCACTAATTCACCAAATAAAGCTCATACACTGAATTAAAGCTCATGCACCGATTCACCGAATAAAGCTCAGAATAAGTACTCACTGTCGCAACGCTCGGTGGTGCAAAATGAGGCAGTCGACTGTGAGGAGCAGGACACAGAGAGAGAGATGGATGGAGACGGTCTGCTGTGATTGTGAGGAGCTGCTGCTGGGTGCAGTGATCAGCGATGGGTATGGGTGTGTGTGTGTGTGTGTGAGAGAGAGAGAGAGAGAGAGATGGAGGCGACGGTTGAAGGCTGAGCGATGAAGAGATAAGTAAATTATGGCTTTAAGCCTTTAAGCTTTAACTGGACTGATAGTATATATATATATAGTAACGGGTAAAATAGGGACGGGGCGGGGGTAAGGGTAAGTCCATCCCCGCACAGGTTTATATGGATATCCCCGTATACGTCCACCGTCCAATATGTATAGTCCATCTTCGGTCCAAACGGGGCAGGTTTGGATGAATACCCATTTTTTTCCAGTCCACTGTCATCCCTACTGTCGAATGACCTAAGTACCGATACCTAAACTTATAAGCACCAGTATCTGGATTCTAGTGGGCTCAAGTACCAATACCTAGGCATCAATTACCAGTACTCCAATGGACAGTGGGCTTAGTTACCAGTACCCAACAAACAGTGGGCCTAGGTATTGGTACCAAGATCCATAGATACTTGTACCTGAAAAATAGAAGGCCCAAGNCATGCACCGATTCACCGAATAAAGCTCAGAATAAGTACTCACTGTCGCAACGCTCGATGGTGCAAAATGAGGCAGTCGACTGTGAGGAGCAGGACACAGAGAGAGAGATGGATGGAGACAGTCTGCTGTGATTGTGAGGAGCTGCTGCTGGGTGCAGTGATCAGCGATGGGTATGGGTGTCTGTGTGTGTGTGTGTGTGAGAGAGAGAGAGAGAGAGAGATGGAGGCGACGGTTGAAGGCTGAGCGATGAAGAGATAAGTAAATTATGGCTTTAAGCCTTTAAGCTTTAACTGGACTGAGAGTATATATATATATATATATATATATATAGTAACGGGTAAAACAGGGACGGGGCGGGGGTAAGGGTAAGTCCATCCCCGCACAGGTTTATATGGATATCCCCGTATACGTCCACCGTCCAATATGTATAGTCCATCTTCGGTCCAAACGGGGCAGGTTTGGATGAATACCCATTTTTTTCCAGTCCACTGTCATCCCTACTGTCGAATGACCTAAGTACCGATACCTAAACTTATAAGCACCAGTATCTGGATTCTAGTGGGCTCAAGTACCAATACCTAGGCATCAATTACCAGTACTCCAATGGACAGTGGGCTTAGTTACCAGTACCCAACAAACAGTGGGCCTAGGTATTGGTACCAAGATCCATAGATACTTGTACCTGAAAAATAGAAGGCCCAAGTACCAGTACCACGTATCAAAGATACCAGTACCTTTCCAAAATTTGAAAATGTTAAAATAAACATTGAGAGGCCTTCAAATCTTGAGCGTTCTTCCTTGGATGATGTAAATGGATAATAATAAGCCTAATTGTTGGGGTTTGAACCTTGGAATGGTCTTATGGTTATTGTATGCACAGATTATGTATTGGGTAGGGCTCCTGTGCAAAGGAAACTTTGTCCAAAGTTTGTTTTGGTTATGATCTCGGTGAATGGGGTGTAACGACGTGGTATCGAGCTATGCGGTACACACAAGTATACTTTAGTGAGTTAATGGGTGATCAAAGGGTTGAGAAAGGACCCCCAGATTTTGAGGCATCACAAATACACTAAACTTAACATGATACAAGATTTAATTGATTTAGAATGAAAGTGGACCATATAAACTGGGACGTGTGGCGCGTTGTGTGCTAAGAATTCAAGGAGTATATACAAGGGGAAAATCATATTTTTTTCCCCATTCTTGGTTNGTATATATATATATATATATATATATATAGTAACGGGTAAAACAGGGACGGGGCGGGGGTAAGGGTAAGTCCATCCCCGCACAGGTTTATATGGATATCCCCGTATACGTCCACCGTCCAATATGTATAGTCCATCTTCGGTCCAAACGGGGCAGGTTTGGATGAATACCCATTTTTTTCCAGTCCACTGTCATCCCTACTGTCGAATGACCTAAGTACCGATACCTAAACTTATAAGCACCAGTATCTGGATTCTAGTGGGCTCAAGTACCAATACCTAGGCATCAATTACCAGTACTCCAATGGACAGTGGGCTTAGTTACCAGTACCCAACAAATAGTGGGCCTAGGTATTGGTACCAAGATGCATAGATACTTGTACCTGAAAAATAGAAGGCCCAGGNTATGGCAATGGCAAATAGCAAATCCCCACAGCTAATGTAGCAACGCTTGCTCCATTTTCCATTCGAAGGGACACTTCTCTTCTACTCAGCCTTCTACTTTCCTTTAGTTCCGACAATGAATTGCATATGTGAGAACTAGCACCGGTATCTAATACCCAGTTTAAAGTAGAACTAATTGACAAATCAGTTTCTATAAAGAGTATATCTGACATACCTTCCGAAGGTTTGTCCTGAATGGATGCAAGATACTCTTGACAATTTCTCTTCCAATGCTTGTCTTTGCCATAGTGGAAACATTTTCCCTTGACCTTTTCTTTCTTGCCCTTCTTAACTCTGCCTTTAGTTTTCAAATGGGCATTCTTCCCCTTCCCTATGATCCCTTTGCCCTTGGACTTGGTCTCAAAAGTAGAGGGTTGGTCAACAACTAAGACAGATCTCTTGCTTTTCTTGAATGTCCTTTCAACAGTAGTTAACATGTTAACAAGCTCAGGCAGAATGGACTCTAATTTGTTCATGTTGAAGTTCAGAACAAACTACACAAAAAAATTCAGGAGAGATTGCAAAGCGATATCATTAGATAGTTCTGCATCAAGGTTTACACCAAGCTTCTCTAATCACTCAATGTAATTGACCATCACGAGCCCATGCTCATGTACGGATGATCCCTTAAACATGCAAGCCCAGAACAAATCCTTGACCACATCGCACCTAGCAATACAACTTTGTTCACCATATAACTCTTGCAGGTGAAGCATGATAAAGTATGAGTTATCCATTTCTTCATGTTGTCTCTGTAGCTCATTGGACATGGATGCTAGCATGTAACATTTACAAAGCGTATCATCCTCTTTCCATTTGGTCCATGTCTTCTTTTCTTCCTTAGAGACATTCTCTAGGAGATATCCCAGTAGTGGACTATCAAGAACATACACAATTTTTTTAGAAATGAGAACGGTTTTCTAGTCCCGCTTCCAGTCTAGAAAGTTAGGGACGGTCAAACTATTGGTGTCAATAATTTTGGATAAGAAGTTGTTGTTGACCATGGTGATCTAGAAAAATAAAACATCTATATTAGCAATTTCATTTTTAAACCATTAGATTGGGTCTTTGAATCATAATGGTACCTCCCACTATTTCTCAAATCCATACACCCTCCTATGGAATTAGGGAATTTTTTATTCCTAGTGGAGATTGGGGTCCACCTTAAATTAATATAACCTCACATAATAGCATCTTGGTTATATTATTCCTTGATGAGTAGATAACTCTTACCTAATGTATCATATGCAAATTGCAATCATCCTTTGATCTCAAGCATAAATGAACCTCACATAATAGTATTTTGGCCCATCTATCCTAGTTAAGTTACACCCACCATTTGTACAAGTGTAGGCATTTATGACCAATAAGCCCCTCACATAATAGTATCTTGGAATTTACTGGCATCCTACTTCATGGCATCATATGCTTGAATAAGCTACCAAGGATTTTCAGAAATGAATAGTCCCCTCATATCTGCAACTGACTAATCACGCTAAAAAACCCTTAATAAATTTACAACGATGGAAGACCACAATAAGACAGTCATAGTGTCTCTTCGTTACAACTTAATATCTTGCGGAGGGATTTTTAGAGATCTTATTATCTCATTATACAAACTTGCATATCATACACATCAAAATTTAAACTCTTGTCATTTATCTTTATTAGTCCAATTAATATATTATACTCCCACTAACCCATTTAAGAAAAATAATTTTAACATTTAAAATTAGGGTTGTGAAAATATAAATATATTAAATTGAATCATAACAAATATGATTCAATAAATTAATTTAAAATAATTTTTAAATAAAATATGGGCATATAACTATTAATGGCTAATTGGGACTTTTGCCCTATGAATGATCATGGACTTTTAGTTTTAATCAATTCAAGCCATTGAATTGAATCTAGGTATGTGTGGATGATGATAAAATTTGAAAATTTGTATCATCTTATGATACTGATCTTTTAAGTGCATTGTTCCAATGGACCTTCATAAACTTGCATCTTGACTCTACCATGCTTCCATCTTGCTTCTATATTTCTCTTCAATCCTACTGAACTATTCCATTCTAATATATTACATTAATGAAATGAAACCATGATCAAGATCAAGGGGAGGTACAATAGGAGGTGTGAGAAGAAACTACATATATAAAGGAGGAATGAGGCATGCAAGCTCCATTTTAAAATTACATACCCATAAAACATAATGCAATCATATCGCATCCAAACCAATCACATAGCTCAATTATTTGGTCTAAGTCCATGATCATTCTCATATCCATCCAAATTCCAATCAGACCGCATGAATAAAAAGAAACAAAGTGATTATTCTAATTATAGCATAAATACAATGGGATTGCAACTTCCTTAACCATTAAGGAATATTTTAATTTTAATCAAATTAAAATTAATAATTCTTAAAATGAATTAAATAATTTTATAAAGTCTTAGTCAAACTAGGAGTCTATTTTGAGTGGAACTTTGTTATGGATCAAATTTCTTATTTGACTCAAATTAAGAGTTCTAATCATATTAGGATTCTTTCATTAAAGTCCTTATGACGCCCCAAAATTCG